TTACGTTCAGAACAACAGACTATGAACTCCCTGGCAGTGTGCAACACATCCACCCTGCCATCAAAGGTAGAGGGATCCATGTCAAAATCCAACATCAGCAATCGCACTCCAGACAACACACTTCCTCTGCGATTACACAACTGTTCACTGATGGATCAAAACATGATCAGGGAGTGGGCTGCGCGTTTGCTCACTACGAACATGGCACACTAGTAAAGGAATGGAAAGGACATCTCACTAACAGCAATAGTATCTTCCAAGCAGAGGCACTAGCAATATTGAATGCGCTACGACATGCCCTCAACCTTTCCCTTACCAATGCGACTTTTTACACGGACAGCATGTCAGTGCTACACGCACTCAGGGATCATCACCACACTTCACCCATCATCATAGATATACAGCAACTTTTACGCAATAATCATCAAGCCCGCTTTAACATGGTATGGGTGAAAGGACACTCCGACAACGAAGGGAATGACGTCGCAGACCGACTGGCTAATGAGGCTGCCAACAACATCCACGCTCAAACTATAAGAGCCCCTACCCCCGTCTCACACCTCAAGAAAACTCTGCGTAATATCTGTAAAGAAAAGTGGCGACACAGGGAGAAGGACGTATAACTTCCTACCAAAGGTAGACACGGAACGTCTTATAACAATAGCCCCACTGACACAGTACATAACGGGTCATGGCCCATTTCCATCTTATTTTATGCGTCATGGCATCTCAGCATCTGACAATTGTGTCTGTGGCATGCTAGGTTCTCCCGAGCACTACCTATTTGACTGCGGTCTAACAACAAACCACCACTTACCACATCCAACGAATGATAGAACACTTTACTATCGTTTCATAATCAAACACCCGCCAGCTATAAGGAGTATCTGCGCAGTTGTACAGCAAATCAACGCCCTAGGGCAAGACATTTGCGAGCCACAGTAGCATGGTACTGCAGACAATGTACTCAACGATTAGATATTCGCAGTATGTACACATTCTGTAATACACATTCCACATTCAATTTCGAGCCTCGTGTTAACATCTGCTTTCAATAGCCACCAACTTGCAGAAATAATGTTACTGACATGTTTATCAGTGTAAAGCACTGGGCACCCAATGGAATGATGTGTTATCGTAAATCGAAATATATAATATCCGTACAATGCACGAATGTAGTGTATGCAACGAAATATGTAATTCATGCAACAGAAGCCCCTAATGAAAGTATGTACATTATGTATTATGGTGAACTGAGCATATTTCCGCACAGCGCTACTGCTTTACGCACACTTACTATGTCTCATATGTTTTTCTTCTGTGTGTAATATTTGCATTTATGTGCTCTACGTGTTTCCATATGTATTCTATGTGTCATGATATGTATTCTCGTGTGTGTTTTTATGTCTTTATGTTACGTAATTACGAGTGTGTTTTTATGCTTTTACGTTTAATTTTGTGTTATCAGCTTATATGAGTGTTTTAGTGTTTTAATGCTATCCTTTATATTCTTTTTTAAGTTACTTTGTGTTATTAACAACGTCCTATGTAAAAACTACCCGCCATCTAGCACCTGTATGGCCATGTAAACTCCCGGTGCAGCCTCACGGGGCTCCAGCGAGTTGCTTCTTGGAGATAGTGGAGGACGTGGGACATATGCCTGTTTACCTATGTTATACGCCAGGCGTCCCCGTCCTCCGTCACCTGTCACCTGTCGAATCGCAGCTGATACCCACATGGATGCGAGCACGGTGCATCGGCTATTGCGAACATGGTTGGAATAAGAAAATGTGGGAAGAAGGAGGGGTGCAGGTGCAGCCAGAGTTACGTCAGCACGCTTGGATCGACGCATCCGCCGACAAGCTGTGGCGGTCTCGCAAGTCACTTGTACCGCGATTCTGCAGCATGTGCAAGATACCCTGGATGTTCCCGTGTCGACCAGAACATTTCCCGTCGATTGGTTGAACGTGGCCTGCACTCACGGCGTTCGTTAAGAAGACTGCCACTGACACCACAGCATAGACGCCAACGTTTAGAATGGTGCCGGACTGGAGAGATGTGGATGACAGAATGGCGAAACGTCGTGTTCTCAGATGAGTCACGCTTCTGTTTATCCAGTGACAGTCGTCGCATACGTGCGTGGCGTCGACGTGTAGACAGATCTAATCCGGCAATAACTGTGGAACGCCCCACCGCGCGACAACGTGGCATAATGGTTTGGGGCGCTATTGCCTACGATTCCAGGTCACCTCTAGTTCGTATTCAGCGCACTGTGACGGCCCAACGATACTTGGATAATGTACTGCGGCCGGTGGCAATCTGCTACCTTCAGGGGCTGCCTAATGCAATTTTTCAGCAGCATAACGCCCGACCACATAGTGCTCGCATCTACCAACATGCTCTGCAAGGTATATAGATGCTTCCCTGGCCACCGTACTCTCTTGACTTGTCGCCAATCGAACATGTGTAGAATGTGATTGAACTCCGTTTGCAGACTCTGCCGCTGCCTCGTTCAGCAGATGAACTGTGGCAAATGGTTGAAAGGGAATGGAGAGCCATCCCTCAGGACACCATCCGCATTCTTATTGACTCTATGCCTAGACGGATTTCTTCGTGCATCGCTGTCCACGGTGGTCCTACTTCCTACTGAGCCGACGCCATTCTTGCTCTGTAATTCTATCATTTTGAAATAAAGATCACTTATTGCTTGCTGTCTCTGTCTTTTCTCCAAATTTTAAGACTTTCTGACCACTCCTTCTTGGTGTTTCATTTTCAATGTCGAGCAGTGTATTTATACAAATGCCAGACATTTGGCCACTAAGCCATTAGCCTTGCTTCCCAATGCTTAAGAACAATGGAATTAAAAGATAAACAGTGCAGTGCATTAGTCAATATGCTTCTTATCCATGGACTTTCCAGAGTTACAAAGAGCCTTAAAAAGAGAAGGGTTGCCCTCGTGTAGTCATTTTTAAGGAAACTGGTTTGCATCCACGTTACACATGATGGGGAAAACTATGAAAGCCCCCATTTAGGGAACCCCTTTGCCTGGAAAGCAGTCTGTGTCAAACTACCACTGTTTAGCGACTTTATGGCTCGACAGTTGATGAGCCTAAAACTAGACGCAAAATAATAGTGAGATTTCGATGCATTTTTTTTTCAGCCAGTTTAAAACAGCGTTAGTAAAGCGACAAGATTTTCCTTTTTTGAAAATCCGCTTACAGAAAAATAAAGCAAAATAATAACAACAAAATGAATAAAATGATTGCCTTTATGTAACACAATCATTTTCTAAAACTTTAATGTTTTATTCTCTCTCACAAACAAATATTGCTTTACCATTGGTGTATAATGCATTATCATTCATGACTAATGAAGACGATTCGGCACCTTTTTTTAACAGACTTTGACCGTTATGGCTTAATTTCCTCTTTGAACATACAACCTGTGATCAATAAGTACGGTGAATAATTGATTTCAAGATATATTTGCAAGAAATGTGGTGCATGTATGCAGGAATACAGCTTATTGTCATTTAAAGTAATCGCCTTCCATCGTTATGCACTTCTAAGAACGTCTGTAAAGGTTTCGCATATTTAGATGAAAGCTGCTGGTGGGATGCGGTTGAGTTCAATGATCACATCATATTGTATGTCGATACCTGGTTCAGCATGTCATGATATTCCCTTAGCGTTTTTACAAATGCGAAACAGAATTTTCACTTTCGTACCAAACTTCTCATATAACAAGGCCGCTGCACTACAGCTTACTTCCATAACGCGCACACGATTGCATGTCTGGACAGGCACACGATTTAATGAACGATGACTGACAGACATTAGGCATGACTAACCTAATCCCCGATGAGTACCAACTACACCTCAAGCCAATACTTCATTAACCATATTTATTGATCACATATTCTAATAAAAGTACTGGCGAAAACCATCACCGCCTTGAAACCAGGTACTAATGAAAACGACGAGGAAAAAGTATTGTCTAAAGTTTTTCTTACTTCACCCCGTCAAATCTAAATTATGATTTCTAGTCACATCAGACTTAACTTAGATATTAATCGACCAACACCACAATTATAACCATTACTGCTATAATTTGATCATGAGGACTGTGAAAGATAATTTTGGATATCATTAAACCGAATGATTGCAGCCTATTCTGGTAGAGGAAAAATATTTCGACGAGCTATCATCCTTACTGCAGTAAAATAAACAAACCAGATTTTTCGCGTTTGTCCACTGAAAATGTTTATCAGCATGACATCTATAAGTCAGCGTGATGTGTAAGTGGAAGCTGCAGAAAATCTGGTATTAAATGTCTAAAACCTGCGTGGAATTTGACCTGCAAGATAAGCAATTTACGTTCGGAGATTTTTCCGAACCATTTCAACTCAAAGGTTACGGAAGAAATTTGAATATCACTATTTCATCAGCTAGAGGTCAGAATGCTTTCTTTCTAGCGTCTTAATGTAATTTCCTTTTAGGCAAATGATACAGTGCTTATTATTACAAATTTATATAGTTAAAATAGTGAGATTTAAATTTAAATCATTATAACTTAAATTATGAGTAACAGTTGATAATACATATTAATCTGCTTCTAAGGCGAAAAATAAATGATAAGCACAATACAATACAGACCCCCGTAAATTAAAATACGCTTGATAAGGGAAGCTTAGAAGACAGATTTCACATTCCAATCCATAAATAAAACTTTAGAAGCCACGGAGTCGTCGGTTTCTCGAGTCTTAAGATGGGCTAGTAACAGTTTTGAAACGTTTGTGCTATGCTGGGAATAGTTTATATACAATAAAGAAAAACAAATAATAATTTAGAGCTTTTTACATACAGTTTAAGAAAATCTCTAACTAAAAATTTGAAATTATATGTTTCATTTTTAAACTCGAAAATTATGAAGAGTTATGAACTCCCCAATATTTTCCGTAAGTGCTGTTCCTTAAATATAATAGTTTTCAGACACATTAATTAGGAAAGAATAATTTTTAATATCTATTATTAAATTATTGTCAGGACTATACAAAACAACGTTACTGGCTCTTTCAAATTTTTACATAGTTGCCCACAAATGTATTTACACCGGTGGTTAATAAGGTCCTTCATGTTCATCTTCGTGTTCTTCAGATGGAGGAATTCCTGCAACTATACCTGAATAATAATTTCCGTACGACTGTAGAACAGTTGCCCTAAAAAGAAAAGACGTTAAATAATTAGAATTAAAAAGTTTATAGTTAAAATTTATAGGATAATAAAGCTAATATTTTATAATTTTGCTTAAGTTATATGAATATGGAAAAGCACGCAAGAGCTGTGTGACTAAGGGAAGGGATGTCTTTATAGAGGACTTTGTAAGCAAAATTGGCTAGTATTCATGTTGCGCATAGAAAAACTATGAAAATTAACCATGTAGCCAGCCCGTTTGCCTGGGCTGGAACCCATGACAAGCTACCAGCATTGAGCAGTCTTTAACTGCCCGGGAGCTGGTGAGGTTTTGTATACCTTTCTGCCAAACTTTTAGAAACTGGTCTCACATATTCCTGTGTTAGGGCCAGCTGGACCTATACGCAAACTGAAGCCTCACGGTAAGCTTATCCCCAAGCCGCCGGCACTAAGGTCGAGGAACCAACCAATTAAAACTCCTGGGGACAACAAGGTGGCTCCCGTTTAGCTGAAGCAGAAGCCAAAGTAGTGTGTTGGGGACAGTACCTCATCCCTTAACTACCAGGACCCTCCTTTCCTACGAAACGGGTCTTCACGCACGGCAAACATGTGGGCAGCTATCTCCACACTCGAAGCTAGGTACAAGAGCTGTAATAGCATCTGATGACAAACCCCAACATCTAAAGAGGGAAACCACAAGTCAGAACATAAAATTGAAAGTAGTAGAGAAGAGGAAGGGCATGGGAAAAGGGTAAAGATGACAGGGTCTCCAGGATCGTGACACCAGTCTCACCAAGATGATGATCCCCTGAAGAGCTAGGGTACCTCGGGATAGCATCAGCATACTCACATAGAGTGAGCCCCTGAGAGGTTGCCTGATAGTGACATTTCCTTATATGCCAGAGGAATGATGGTAACACCAAAAAAAGTAGTTTGAATAAGGTTTTTGTGTTTAAAATAACCTAGCATTATAAAAACTATTTCATTTGTAAGTAAACCGTTATATAATAAACATTCGTCAATATTTATGTGCATTTGCTTCGAAAACAGCATTTTAGGGATATACTGCAAATTGGGCGAAGGATAGGAAGGAATGTCACTTCTCTGCTCAGTCGAAATGCAAGTTCTGATTCCTAAATTTCAGAAAATCTAATCTGTTGAAAATCAACAGCTGTTGTGATCTGCTATAAGCATAATAAATTTAAGTACATTGAAAAATGTGAATCAATATGCTAGTGTAGTATTACTTACAAAAATTACCTATTAAAAGAGAACAAATATAATCATTTAAGCAAAAGTTTTGTTTTGCAGGTTTAATAAAATGAACATTGTAATGGGAAATTTATTGCAATTAATTAGAATAAATTTCAAATATAATTTTATTTGAAGTTAGCCGATACTGATATAAATCTTTGGTTAAAATTCATTTACAGTTTCGTTAAAGCAACATGGATAAGAATCTTTTTTTTTAAAGTGAAAATATTGTTCATATGCTATGGATAGCATATCACCCAGTCCAGTATTAGCGAAATCCTCAAGTTATGTAGAAATTTGGTATGTTCTTTCTTCTAATTATTTTTATGCTATGGCTGTTATTGCTTCCTATCGTGCTAGACCACCTGATTGAAAGAATGAAGCATCGATACGAAGCTTGTGGAGGGAATGAAATGAATTATAGGCAACACATCTCACATCATGACCTTTTTTGTTGTTACATGTATACGAAACTATATTAAACTTGTATAAAATGTAAATTAATAATATAATTTGAAATTAAATATATTTTCATTGATTTTTTACTATATTGTGGAATAAGTAATTCAATTCACTACTTTCGTATGAGACTTGGAGTCAATCAAAGGATTATATTTTGCGTTATGCCTAATTAACTGCCTCCTGTTTAATATTTTGAAGGCATTGTAATAAATGACTAATATATTTTGCTAATAACTACATTTCATGTTATTTAATTTTAGAAAAATATCTAAATGAAACTAATATTTAAAACTTTTGCTCCAGAAATATTTTAATTTTTCATGGTATGAAAGCAAATATTGCGACTTTAAATAAATATTTTTCTCTAGTTGATATTTCATTTTTTTTCTTTCTGCTTATAAAAGAAATATTGGTTTTCTTATCCAAAGGAGACTACATCAAATTGCAATTTAAATAAATTATTTATTTTGTTACAGTTGTAGTTTCTACTTTTATTAGTGTTGTAAATAATTATGATTTGTGACTATATTTAGTACACAAGTTTGTTTAAAACCATTGACATGATTAGCATTGCTTTATTTTTGAAATTTACTAACTTTAAGTTAGCAAATAATTCATGAATGGAGAGGGAAGCTGATCAAGTTTTCTTGGTAAAGCTAAATACACATAAGCAATTTGAAGAAGATAAATCAACTTCTTGTCACAGTTGATTCATCATAAGCTTTGTTACGGTCTCCTTAACAGCAACAATATTGTTTTAAGATTATGTAGGTTTGTGGACAAATGCATCATTGATAAGATCGATGACTTGGAAGGCCAGCTATGATCTACCAAACCAGTGAATACATTGTAACTGAGCCAAAGCACAAGGAAGCATTAAGCGCACGTTAAAAAATTTGACATTCTCTGTCAACAAATTGATGACATTGTAAAACTTCCAAACTGTCTTTTTTATTTTATGCATAGGAATTTCAGACCGTAGTATTTTATCTGAAATTGCCTCAAATCATATCTTGAATAAGCTTTGGAGTTGGAGGCTTTGAAAATATGACTTTTTTAAAATAGAACAGAATTCAGAAACACTTACACAAAAATTACTTCGCCTTTTGGCCTATCTTTTGGCGGTTTCCAAAGCAGGATCACTCTTTTCTTTGGTAACGGATCGCCGTGACTGATCGCTGAACAAGGAAGCGTTTTTGTACCTTTTACTTTATACCAGTGACCTATCCTTTCATGGGTGTCAGGATCCATGGCAGCAATTAAAAATCCTTTGAAGCGTGGACCAGTCAATTGCACTGTAAACAAAAATTAGAGCTTGATTATGTCTCATGCTTTCAATGCCACATGTAATATTGCCTTACTTTTAGTGCTACATCAAAAATGACATTAGAATTTGCATATTAAATATCTTATTGTGAAATGCATGAAAGGAAAATTTCAGTCCTTTTCTTATTATGGTGCTGTTACCCCTTCTCTAATTTTGCAAGTTTATTTTTGTATTGATCTTTGTGTAGTATCTGTATCTAAACCTGATATATTGTTATTGCAATTATGCTAAGATGTAAATATTGGACAGAACAAGAAACCTTTACGATATAATTTAGAAACTGCTTTACTCGGTATTTAAAAGTGCTATGCAAAATGATCTTACATTCCACCTAAATTAAGAATGAAGTAAGCAGCATTTTTATTCGTTTAACATTTATTCAAAATTGACACCAATCTAATATTGTTTTCTTGCTACATTATCATGTTCCTATTCCAGTTAATAAGTTAAAGCTTTAGAAGGAAGATCTATACAATTCGATATCTGTAGAAGAAGAACACTGAGAAACGGAATGTTCGGAAACGCATTGCGAACGGTAAAAGATTTATATTCAGTGGCATCTTAGTCAGGCTACCGATTTAAGATGGCAACTTGAAAAGAGTTCTTAAATGTTGCCCTGTCCAGCAGTAGCCTAAATTTATTGCTAAGACTTGAAATGGTGTTACAAGCTTCTCAGTGTTTCACAGTTCCAAAGTTCCAAAAGATCTTCAGTGCATTGGTTTAATGGGTTTGCAGTCTCTTATGATGCATCTATTCTTATAATGTGGATTAAAGGTTTGATTATATATATTCTATAATGTATCTTATGTTGTGCTATTTGGCTATTTATGTATGTAATAAGGTACTTGTGGTTTCTTTGGTTATATATATTTCATAATGTATTACTTTGAAATAAGTAAGATTGCGGAGTCATTAGTTTCTTTTTTTTAAAAAAGCAGAAGAGGTGACAAAATGTGCAATGCAGTCGCCGGGACTCGAACCCTGGACCTCCGAAATACACTTCGAGTATGCTTGCAGTTACGCCACGAAGACATGCGGAAAGGAGGAGAAAATACCTTATAATATGACTATAAAAACATTTAATACAACTTAAACATGTAACATGTTGCAGTTTGTTTTTAATTATAATTTAGACAGATTACATATTGCAACTGTACTGTGGAAATGCACCATGGATGCGAACTGCTCACTTAACTTCAGTTGTATTATGTTTTTGAACTATACTATGCATCTACCATACTTTGTAATATAATATGAACTAAATAAGCTAATTAAGTAGACAAAATTAAAAACTATGCTATGAGCTACTCAACTGATACAACAAGGATATACTACGGACATACTAAGAACTATATTATATTGGGTTGAAACATAAGTAATGCTCGCTTTTTTAATTTAAAAATTTTTATTTTAACAAAACAAAAAACAATAAATTAGTCAATAATATCCGAGTTTTTGGATTTTCCCCATAGACCCAAGATGTTGAACTATAGTCATTTGGCTACAATCCATTCGTTCGGCTAATTCTCGAGTGGTTTGACGAGCGTCTTTGTGCAGAAGTTGATTCAAACGCTCTTCATCACACTCATTTGGTCGTCCAGAACGAGCAGCGCCTTTGAGGTCGAAATTTCCATTTTTGAATTTGGCAAACCAATTTCACGCAGTTCGTTCAGGCATTGTACCTTCTCCATAAACTTTACAAATCTCTCGGACAGCTTTTGCAGCATTGGCGCCTCTGTAAAACTCAAAAAGAAGGTGGGTGTCGAAAATGCTTATTTTTGTCGACTTGACACTCCATTTTAAGGATCTGAAAAATAACAAAAATTAGCTCAGACAACAAGAAAAAAAAAAATCAAATATGCCATCTTGTAGAGGGAAAGATTCTCTTTCGAATAACACAAAATATCATGCCATTTTCTTACCACGTAATTTTAAGCAGATCATAAACGGCCATTACTTACGTTTCAACCCAATATACGAAGAACAACATTAAACACAGCATTATACTATAACGAAGGATGTATACGCTAAGGCTACTATATACTAAGGCATGAACTATACTATTAATGATCAAACTATGAACTAACTGCGCTACTGATACTTATTGTCCAATGATTATGTAAGAACTAGAAATTTGCTCATTGAGAAATATTTATGCATCTAAAAAGTAATTGTACGTATTAGACAATGTAATGTAACATTGAATTGTACATATTAGGCAACGTAATGTGATATAAACATATTTAAAATCCACACCACAATGTCTAAATAAATAATTCTCCTGAGTTGGCGTTCAATCTTCTACGGATATGTTAAAAATATCTAAGTAAAGAGCCAACTCAGCGGCTTTGAAGCTTTCAGTTTAATGAGTTATATAGTTTATTAAGAGGTTATTATTTGTTAAGAGGTTATATAGTTTATTCTCTGTCAAATTAAGCAGGTTACTGCATATTACTATAGTATTGTAAACTCATTAGCTTTACTTCTGAACAGGAAATTTGCAACTTGAATAACGCCTTCTCGGGGATTCGAACTTCGGACCCCCCACCCGATTGCCAGTCGGACGCGCTTCCAATTGATGCAGGAAGGAGGGAGAAAATTCCTGACAGTGTGGTTCCAATCACATAACAAAGAACAAGGATAAATAAAATAGAAATATTAGAATTTCAGAAATGATTGACTTTTATGTCATCATAGATATACAGTAATCTATGGATTAATGAAGAAAAGTCTCTGTTATGACCTTCGTACCAAGAAAAGTAATAGGATGTGTACAGTAAGAATTCGAATCTTAAAAGAAATTTCTTTCATACGTTATCAAAGCTCAACACTAAAAATTGAAAACAAAAATCCATACTATTGTCCTGGGAACTAGTAACATCATTATGTTGATAAAAAAAAGCGAGAAAAATATCTCGTATTTCAAGAGAATAATTTAAAATAAAGGATGTTAAATGTAATTATCGTTATTATTATTATGTCTATAAATTTTCTTACTCAGAATCATATTTTGCTATTTAACTTAGTTGAACCCGTCTCAAACATTAAAAAAACTTACTCTATCGCATTAAACAGAGATAATTGAGATGTCTGAGAAGCGCCGTCTGCTACAAAGCAGCCACAAGTAAATAAACTATTTTTTTAACTCTTTCACATCGAAGTCGCCCCAAACGCCCAAACATTCAGACATCGGCTGGACGCCCGAAACGCCTGAATAAATTCCTACCCAGCGCTTTCCCCCATCATGTTACTGCATTACTCATTGCTTTCAGGTGTTGTTAAATCACATGTCAATCATTCTTTTGAAGCTACTAAAAGTAGCTTCCTTGTTTCCTTTGTTCCTTCCTTTCCTTTGTTTACTGTCAGTGTTTAGCTTTTGATGCCCGAAGTTGCAATCCCGTCCCAAGGGGGAACTTGACACAGTGTCAAAACGTCGAAGAAAGAAGTTCTCGCTTTACTTAAGTAAGGCTATTGTTAGCGCTGTAGTATTCAACTTGTTATGGGGGAAGGAAAAGCATTCCAGGAGAAATTCTTAGATATGGGCGTTTTCGATGTTTGGGGAATTGAGATTTTGCCCTCTCTCGATGCGAAAGAGTTAAACTAGAGCTAAAAGCAAACTAAAAGCATTTTAAGTTTTAAGACGAAGCAGAAAATCGACCTTATTTTAGGGTAAATTTTGAATAAAACTTTATTGATTTCGAGAGGTGATCAGATACATGTTCCTCTTCTTTAGGAGTGAGTATAGGAGAAAAAAGAAAAAAAAAAACCACTTTGCCGTGTCGTGTTTCTCCCAGATTGGAAATTTAAAGCCCTTAGTGGGGTATTAGAGCAAAATAAATTGTTGCGAAATACTATCATCCTTAATTGAGAAATTTTTGTTTTATTTGAAAAATTACTACATTTCAGTTTCAAAATCTGCATCTGACTCAATATATCCTACAGCGGATCAGTTGTGATAAATTTATATTTTAATTATTATTCTATATTTTTTCTTTTATATATATAGAATTATCGGAAATTCTTTTAATAAATTTTCTTGCGCAGAAAGATGTAACAAGAACTTTTTAATTTAATACATTATTTTCATAAAATAGAAAACAGCGAATCAATTAAAAAATATTTGCTAGTTTTTAAATATTGATTTAATTTTGTTTCATCGATACCATTTTTATGCTTTTTGACAACACCTTAACTGAAAACATAACGTGTACCTTCTTTTAAATCCAGATTCACTGTGTAGGTCTGATTTCTATCCAAAAAATAGAATATATAGTAATGTAATCACAGAACATTCATTTTTCTGTTCTCCTGCTGATGAAAAATTCAATTTGTTATAGTATTAAAAACATTCTAAGAATCTGACTGGCATATATTATATGCTATTTTAGATGTGAAAATTACTCTAAAAAGTAAATTGCTCAATATATCAAGAAGTATAACAGAGAAGGCATAGAGGAAAATGTGAGAATTCCGAAGCTTATGATTATCAGACCGAAACATTTATACTATCAGCATAGTTAGTTGAATCAGTTAGAGCTCAAAAAGGTTCCGATTAGAAAAAGATAGCTACATTTCTCGTTACAACGGATGAAATGTTGTTATAATGCACTTTTTAAGATTAAGTTAGATATATAGTATCCGGCATTCGTCAAAGGTACCTTGACAACCTGCAAACCAAAGCGTCAAATTTTAGTCACGAAGGTGATGCACCAGATGACAAAAAATGCCGAAAGGAGTTTAGATAAGCTAGAGGTAGTTCCATTTTTAATTTTCAATAAAGTAAATTTGACATGAAAATGATGTTAGATGTGATATTTCATTCTACATGTATCTGGCACGTAAAAGCTTTACAGCTTTGAATTTTATCCCTTTCACACAACGCGCAATGCGTAATAATTTAAGAATTGTGTAACTATCATGCTATACGTTACATACGGTGCAAAGAAAGCTTAAATTTTACATCAGTTT